GGTTGAGCTATAGGCGCCGAGCCGATTATAATTTTTAAAAAGATGATTTGGCATCTTTAAGATTCAAGAGCCAGCCAAGCATGGTTTGCTCACACCTGTAGTCATAGCACTCTGGGAGGCCAAGGAGTATGGATTGCTAGAGCTCAGGAGTTGGAGACCAGCCTGAGCCACAGCAAGACCCTGTCTCTAAAAATAGCTGGGCGTTGTGGTGGGAGCCTGTAGTCCTAGCTACTGGGGAGGCTGAGGCAAAAGGATCACTTAAGACCAAGAGTTTGAGGTTGCTGTGAGCTATGATGCCACAGCACTCTACCTAGGGCTACAAAAACGAGACTCTGTCTCCCCCAGCCCACCCCCCGCCCCAAAGAAAGGAAAAGAAAAAGAGAAACCAGCTAGGCATTATGGTAGGTGCCTGTGATCGCAGCTACTCAGGAGACTGAGGCAAGAGAATCACTTGAGCCCAAGAGTTTGAGGTTGCTGTGAGCCACGATGTCACAGCACTCTACCAAGGGTAACAAAGTGAGACTCTGTCTCAAAAAAAAGAAAAAAGATTCAAGGACCAAATATACAATTTAAATATGCATATGTATATAAAAAAGCATGCATATAATATCAAGGAGGGAGCATGCCTTGGTCCTCTGTGTAATATCATAGCTATCTATGTTAAAGTTTGCAGCAGCCCTCTGAGGGAGGCAGGCCTTTTAAAACAGCAACAGAAACCCAGAAAAAGAAGTGAATTGCACTGGTTGTAGAACAGGGCCAAACCCTGTCTGTCTGGCCACAGGACATTCTATTAGACATGCTCTTTCCAGCTTTATACTCACCCACCACCTCCAGACTTCTCACCTTGCAGACAAATATGATGCAAGATGATTCTGTAAGGTCTTTTGAGATCAGCTGCCCGTAGGAGTATTTCTCTATCTTCCCCAGGACCACGAGCTGCCAGAGCTTCTCGTCAGACCATGATGCAAACAGATCCATCTTCCTGAGGGGAAAAGCCTATTAGAATTCATCATCTTCCATCACATAAGGTGCTCTGATCACAGCAATTTCCAGAAAGGGGACATGCTCCTCTACTATGAAAGATGCCTGGGCGGGAAGTTTTTCTACTCCCCACTCAATCAGCTAGCCACTCTCACCCTTGCCCCCTCTGCCCTTCTCTTGATGTCCTCCTCTCCCACCAAGCTCAGCTCTTTGAGCTGCCCTGATACCCCGGGGGTGATCCAGCCTCTGTGCTTTTGTCACTTCTGCTCTTCCATCAAGGAACTTTCTCCCAGCTCCACCCCTGCCATCTACACCCCTCCTTCCTGTGGCTTTCTAAGGACTAGTTCCTCACTTTGGCTCACTGGCTGTTCTGTCTCCCAGCTGGGCAGTTCTGGCCCTAACTTTGGTTTGAACCAGTCATTCCAATTCCTCTTTCTGGCCTATTGGCTTCAAATATTCAGCTCTGGGGAATGGGAAAATCTGGACCCTCCCCTTTTCACCTGTTGCTCCCTATGGTTAAAGAGCCACCCCACAGTGACTGTCCCTTCCCCTGACCTTGAACACCACTGATCACTGGCAATCTCCCACACAGACAGAGGGGTTGCCTTTTCTCCATGGGTACTGCTATAACAATTACCTTAGATTTGCTCAGCTCCAACAGATTATGGGCGTGGAACTCAACTGTCTCAGGTGGACTTACTTAGTTAACTCAGGTTAACTCAAGATGACTTGGGCCTCAGTGGGAACACAGAGGTAAGTCCAGGGTACCAAAAGTCTGGGGCTGGTTCCATGTTCAGAGGGACAAAGGTCTGGCACCACCACAGGAAAACCTACCATGTATCAAGCCCTGGGGCACACACTCTCCAAAATCCCCTGTTCATCTCATTGCATCCTGACAATGGAGAGAGGTACCATTATCTCCCATTGCATCCTGACAATGGGAGAGAGGTACCATTATCCACATTTTACAGAGCAGGAGGCTGCAGCTCAAAGAAATGAAATGACCTGTCTTGCGTCACATCATTGATAAACCTAAGAGCTGAGGTTGGGACCAGACCTATTTTTCCCCTGGATGAAAAATGAAATGCTCCTTCCACCAGGACTGCATTCTCCTTTACCCATGAAGCCACCTCTCCTAGCTCTAGCCACAGAGACCAGACCCCTCTGCCAACACACTTCTCTATAGGGCCTGTGCAGCCCTACAATCTGGGTTTTCAGAGCTAGTGCAGATTCTTTAGTGGACTTTTACTCTTTTACAAAAAGGCCCACCAAATGCTCAATATATGCTTGCTATTATTATTATCATTGTCCCACGAAGAAGGGATATTTGAGCCTGAAGGTGTGATAGGAGTTTGTTAGAGAAGTTGGGTGGCATGTGGGTATTCCAGAGCATTCCAGGCAGAGAGAACAATGCCTGGTCTGTTTCCCACCAGGCCTGGGACAAAGTCAAGCACCTAAGAAACACACAAAAGATAAAGATGGTGAATGAGGGTGTGGTTACCTAAAAAATTCAAACCGATACTGAGCATCCTTCTGAACTTCCTGGTCCAGCTTATGATGGAGGAAGTCCTCCTGGTCAACAACCAAGAACTCCGTTTCTTCCATACAGACCACAGTGGACCTCTTTACTATAGCATTCAGAAGGCCCACTTCCTATTGGGTAGATGGGACAAGGTCAAGTGTGAGGCTACCTCCAGCTCCTGTTTGCAGCCTTATATGTATCTTCCCAGTTTCTGTCTCCCCCTTGAAATCTCTCCTCCCTAGACTCCTCCCCACTCTCCCAATGGGGGCTCACTTCTTCCTTCTTAATCTGCTCCTTGTGGGAAAAGAGGCAACAGGCCTGAACAGGCCAGAGCGGGGGAAGCCAGTGAAGATTCTTTATAGGGAACAATGCTCCTTAAACATCACAGCTGAAGATGTCAACCTGAGCACCACCTGGTTCAACTCAATCAGCTTTTTTTTTTTCTGAGACAGAGCCTCAAGCTGTCCCCCTGGGTAGAGTGCCATGGCATCACAGCTCACAGCAACCTCCAACTCCTGGGCTCCAGCGAGTCTCCTGCCTCCGCCTCCCAAGTAGCTGGGACCACAGGCGCCCGCCACAATGCCCGGCTATTTTTTGGTTGCAGCCGTCATTGTTGTTTGGCGGGTCCGGGCTAGAGATTCGAACCCGCCACCTTAGGTGTACGTGGCTGGCGCCTTAGCCGGTTGAGCTATAGGCGCCGAGCCTCAATCAGCTTTTGACAGATAAGAGTGCTGCAGCCCGTGTGGGGTGGTGACTTGCAGAGGATGAGGCAGGACTGGGCCTGGCCAGAAGTTTTAGCACAAGTCCTGTTATCTCCCCAGCCCCACCCCTGGAAGCCAGGCCCTTCCCCAGGCTTACCCCAAAACAGTCACCCTTGTATAACAATTTCGGGTGGGGATCCAGGAAGGCACTGCTGCCATCATCATCCTGAGTCACTGCAACTGTGCCACGATAGACAAAATAAAAGCTGTTGCCCTTCTTCCCCTTCCTGACAATCACACGCCTGCGACCAAACCTGGGGAAGATAATGGCCAGTTGAGCTGGTGGCAACACAGAGGCTGATCTGTATGAGGATGTGCTCTTTGCTCTAGGGGATGAAAGCACAGCCTTGGATTAGAAGAGCCTTCAGAACAACCTAGCCCCTGCCTATGTAGCTGGACCCCTCCACAGACATCTATCCAGTTGCCTGCCTCAGTTACGAGGCAGCTTCCTGAGAGCCTTTGTTGGTCTGGTGTGCTGTTACATGTGGTAAGGCCCATAGGAAATGCTCAGTGAACAGTAGTTTAATAAATGAGTGGAAAAAATGCTGAAACCAATGGATGGGTTAATCGAGTAGCTGACTGATTAGGAGCACTGGTTTTTTTTAGACCTGGATCCGAATACAGGTTTTGCCCTTAGGGGTGGGACACTGGGCAATTCAGCCCCTCTGTGAGCCTCAGTTTCTTTTATCTATAAAAAGAAGATAAGAATGTCTAGAAAGAGACAGATAAATGGTCTTTTTATAATTCCTAGTAACTCACTACCCAAATCGGCACCTGTAGGGTAAAAGTGCCCCGGTCCCAGGCAAACTGGGATTTTGTTCTTAGACTCAGAGAGAAGTTTCTGTATTTCATTTACAAATCCAAATCTTGCTTCTTTCAATTTCCATTCATTTCCTTCATTCATTTAGTAAGTGAAATAAATGCCAACTTGTGTCTGTTGTACCCAGTGAATGACACAGGTTTTATTTTCAAAATTATGGTCACTAGCCAAGTGTGGTAGCCCATGCCTATAATCCTAGCACTCTGGGAGGCCAAGATGGATTGCTTGAGCTCAGGAGTTTGAGACCAGCTTGACCAAGAGTGAGACCCTGTCTCTACTAAAAATAGAAAAACTAGCCCAGCACGGTGGCAGCTATAGTCCCAGCTACTTGGAAAACTGAGGCATGAAGAAAGCTTGACCCAGTTTCAGATTGGTGTGAGCTATGATGATGCCACAGCACTCAACCCCAGGGTAACAGAGTAAGACTCTGTCTCAAAAAAAAAAGAAAAAAAATTATGGTCATGTACAAGAGGTAAAGGAGTAAATGAGATTAATTTAGGAGCACAGAAAGGGAGCATTTAGCCCAGCTTACAAAGGTCAGAGAAGGCTCCAGCATAGTGTCCAAAGTGAGTTGTCCAGGTGGACAAAGAGATGGACAAGTGTCCCAGGCAGAGGGACCACCATGGCCAAAGACACAGAGTTAGCCTAACGTATAACACAGTCAAGGGAGTAACAGTGCACTTCATGGGACAGGAAAACGGGACAGAGGAGGTCAGGGGATGGTCTGAGTGAAAGTCAACTTGTCCGAAGCCTCCAAAGCTGGGCTAAGCTTGCATTTTACCCAGAAGATGATGGAGAACCCAAAAGTCTCCCCTTTTAGTCTCTGCCAGGTCTGACGAGTGACCATGGTAGTAGAAGTGCCCTGATGGCAGGGTTATATCTGTCATTTCCCCCAACTCTGAGCTCATCAGGTCCTCCTCTTCCTCCTCCCCCCACACTGACACCTTCCATTCCTTCATGCCTCATTGGCTGGGCCAGCAGCAGCAGCAGCACCAATACTCTGCTCAGGACAGATGATACTCCCTTTGTTCCAGAGGTTTGTCCACATTGCTCCCCCTGCCTGGAATGGCCTTCTTTCTCTCCTCCACTTACTCCGATTCTTTCAGCAACTCACATCCTACTTCCTCCAGGAAGCCTTCCCCAACCCTGCCCACAGCAGTGTCTCCTCCTCTGAGCTCCTAGGGCACCCATTCGCCTGCCTCATGATCCTTTGACAAACTGAGGGGAGGGATCAGAGGACAGAGAACAGCGTTAGGCTGGAGTCAGTAACCTCAGCATCATCTCTGGCCGTGGACTTGACCAGGTCCAGACCAGAGGCTGGTGTCAACATAGGAAAGAGGAAATGGTCCAGATGACAGTGACTATATGAGAGATGGCAGGAATATTCAGCTAGCAAATGAGAGCAGGGAGCATAGCCAGTGTTCATGCTAGTATAGACTCCTAGAGCTAGGGCCAGAAAAACCCTTGGAGACCATTGAGCTCAACCAACTTTTGGAAAGAGGAGAGTGTGGTTCTAGGAGGCCATGGCTTGCTGAAGGTCATGTGAGCTACAATCAAGTCAACAGTAGGACCTGACTCTCTTAGATCAGATATATGTTGCTTTTGCTGTCAAAATCAAGGTCACATTTTTCTACCAACTGCACCCTTTCTCAACTCTCAATGTGTCACTGACCCCAGTGATGATTCAAACAAAGTCAATCTTACAAAGCTCTGACTTGAATAACTGAAAAGACCTTTTTACTCTTTCCCATTGGAATAAAACTGGAAAGATGGAAGTCTGGAGTCATGACGGTGGCAACCATCTTACCACTATGAGGGGAGCTTCAGGTGGAGGAGAAGGCTTATAGGAACTAAGTGCCAAGAGACAGAGACAGACAGCAGACATTGGTCCTGGTGACACTGAGTCCCTGTATTCCAGCCAAGCCTGAAACTGAACTACGCCAGGACTTTTCAGACAGGAGCCACCAATGTATTCCCTTGGGCTAGGTTTTGTGATACTTGCAACTAGACGAATCCTGTCCCAGCTGCTAATTCCCAGGCCCAGAAATAATCGACAACTAGCAGAGGGCTTTGCCAACCACCTCTTCACTTATCTTCCCCTAAATCTTGTTAGTATACTTAGTGAAGCCCATAAAATCGGTATCATTATGCTTATTGCACTGATGAGGGTACTGAGGCTCAGAGAGGTTCAGTGGCTTGCCTGAGTTCACACTAGGGCTGATGTGGCATTGAATTCCCGAGCGTCTAGCTCCATGATTCTTTTTCCTTCTGTGACACCACTCTGTCTGACACGGAATCTTACTTTATAGGCAGTGGTGACTCGCTCTTCTTCACTGGGCTAGAACAAAGTCAATGGTTCCCTCTGCCTGGAATGTTCTTCACCTGAAAACACCTGAAAAATCTACCTGTTCAAACACAAATTCTTCTGTGAAACTCTGGACCAAGCCAGCTGGAGGGTAATTTCCTCCCCTGGGAGCATCCTGTACTGGTTAGAGAGGGTCTTAGGCTGTGTTAGATTGTGCTTATGTCTCAGACTGTGACCTCCATGAAGCAACATATTGGGGTATGAACCTAGAGTGGCCTTACATCCTGAATTTTCAAGATAGGCCTTATCTCAAATATTCTGCAAGGCTGCCCCTCTGAAGTCATGGAGATGGCCTGGCAGTGGTGATATTTCCACAAGGACTGGAGCTTTCCCAGTATGAGGTATTTACGCGGCACTTCTCGTGCCATGAACCCATTGACAGTCTGGTGACGCTGTCACAGAATAATGTGGGGTTTTTGTTTTGTTTTGTTGTTTTTTGAGACAGAGTTTCACTTTGTCACCCTTGGTAGAATGCTGTGGTGTCATCATAGCTCACAGCAACCTCAAACTCTTGGGCTCAACAGATCATCTTGCCTCAGCCTTCCAGGTAGCTGGGACTACAGGCACCTGCCACTATGCCTGTCTAGTTTTTAGAGACAGGGTCTCACTCTTGCTCAGGCTGGTCTTGAACTCAAGCAGTCCACCCGCCTGGGCCTCCCAAGTGCTAGGATTACAGGCATGAGCCACTGAACCTTGGCTCAGAATAATGTTTTAAATGTATGAAATAAAATTAAGCAGAATTATTATTAACTAATGTTTCTTAAAGCCTAAATTTGTGATATGGCAATATAGGGACATCTTTGTTCAGGTGCCAAATAACAAAATCTAGCAGCAGATGTAATAACTACCAGAACTTTGAAGATATGAAGAACATAAATTATTTTTTGTGAAATCTACAACAGCTTAAAATGACATGAAAATATCTTTGATTTCTTTTAGTGCAAAAGTCATAGAGGTGGCTACTATTCCAGGGCTTCATTGCCTACATCCATGATTGAAGGAAATGGTCAATTTCTACTAGACAATTAATGAAAATAGAGATTTTTTTCATTCAAGTTCAAAGACCCTTTTCTAGACCTACCTAGATATAGTACAATCACCCGTGATCCATTTTGGCTTTTAGTGCCCAGATTTGAGCCTCAGCTTTGCCTCTCATTATTGCTGGGTGACCTAGGATGAGCCATTTCCCTCCTCTGAGCCTACTCCCTCATCTGGAAAATGATGGAATTGGGCCAGATCCTTTCTGAGGTTTCTATCAGATCCTCCTCTTCCATAATTCTATGAAGACTTTTGATGAGTGAGTGATATAAACAGTGCTTTGACCTAAGGCGAGCTCTAAGGTGAACCAACAGAAAACTCTGCCTGGCTGATACTCTACAGCCAGTGGTTCTCAACCTTCCTAATGCCGACCCTTTAATACAGTTCCTGTGGGTCACGACCCACAGGTTGAGAACAGCTGCTCTACAGAGAAGAGGGACCTGTAGCTGGACTTTTCCTGTCCAGCCCAGCACCATCCCAGGGATCAAGGACTGTGCCCCTCACTGACCGTTCAAAGCGCATGACTTTGGCCAGGAGCAGCTGCAGGGGCTCTTCATAGTTCCGGTAGCTGCTTAGAACCCGAAATATGCTACAGAGGGAATGGATCTCACTCTCTGTCCTCCAGGAAGGCGGCTTCTTCATGATCGTTATAGCCCTTGGCGGTAAGTGACCCTGGAGAGAGAAGGTCAGAATGACATACATATGGGACCCAGCAATTTCCCCAACAGGCTGGCTGGCCATTCCCACATTCCTGCTTATATACCTTCCTGTTCCCTATACAATAGTGGCTGACATGTGATGAGTGCTTCCAGTGTGCCATACATCAAGGTAAGCAACTTACACGTCCATCTCACTATATCTTCACCAGCCCAAGAACTGTTCCCACTTGACAGATAAGCAGACTCAGGCAGGATTATAGTAGATCTGCCACATGCCAAAGCCAGTATCCCTCCCTCCCTGGGCTCCCAAGGTCCTACAGGGTCACCTCAGCACACACACATGCAGTGAGGGGAGACCTTCATCCTCATCTCAGCCTAGACCTTGGCAAGACTGAAGACTGACGAAGACTATTAAACTTCTTCCCTAGTGGACAAGGACTCATGCACCAGTGCTCAGGCAGATCTATTAGTCACTCACCATCCCCACCTGCTGGGGAGGTGGAACTGTGAATTGTTAACATCCCAATGACTTCCCTCTAACCTAGGGTGACCAGACCTCCCGCTTTTGAACAATTTGTCCCACATCCTGTGGCATTTTTAAAAAGTCCTGATTTTAGGAAAGAATGCAGGAACGGGTGGGAGAATAGGAAGGGAATATACGGTTTTCGGCTGCCATGTGGCTATTTCACCAGAATATGATTTTTATATTATTTTTGTTAATTTTATAATGTTAAACTGTAATAATAACAAATAATTGTTGAGAAGTGATTATCGAGAACTGCTTATCAAAGTTTGCATTGTTGTCAGGCCCTGCCCTGCCCGCCCCCCTCCCCCCATGTCCTCCCGCTTTACAAATGTTAAAATCTGGTCACCCTACTCTAACCTCATCTTCTACCTCTCCCCTTCCTTCTCTATTCTCAAGCTTTTTGATCTATCCCTGGAGGCATGTGCTAAGCTTGGTTCTGTCTTGAGGTCTTTGTATGGGCTGTTTTTTTCTACTTGGAATGTTCTTCCCTGGATTTTCACATGGATATGGCTGCCTCCTTATCATTCTGGTCTCAGCTCATGTGCTGCCATATCCTTAGTGTGTCTCCTCTGGACCACTTGAGCTAAAAGCAGGCCCCTTCCTCAGAACCCTGTAGATCAGTGATTTTCAACACTGGTGTGCTGTGAAATTTTTTAGATCATTATTTTTGAAAGAAGTTCAAAGCACAGTGAGTATTTTTTTTTTTTACTCTTTTTTTAAAAAATCAACATGATTTAAGTGTGCCATGAAAGTTTAACTACAGGTTCAAGTGTACCATGAGATTAAAAAAGGTTGAAAAACACTGCTCTACTGCTATACACAGAATTGCCCTCATCTCTAGAGTTCTGTGGCTCTCAGAGAGGCCCCTCATTTTCCTGTTTGAAGGATAAAACTTGGGTAATCTTCAGTGCCCAGCCTCAGACCCTGGCCAGGCTGGAAAACTGAAGAAACAGAATTTCGATGACTTAGTGATTATATTTCATACATGAGGAGGCAGGCAAAATGGGAATGTGCCCAAGACAGGCAGGAAATAGAAGCCGCACCTTAGTGCTGAGGGAGAACAATTATAAAGTTCTGTTCTTGGCTCGGCGCCTGTGGCTCAAGCGGCTAAGGCACCAGCCACATACACCTAAGGTGGCGGGTTTGAATCCCCAGCCTGGACCCGCCAAACAACAATGACGGCTGCAACCAAAAAATGGCCGGCGCTGTGGCGGGCGCCTGTGGTCCCAGCTACTTGGGAGGCTGAGGCAGGAGACTCGCTTGAGCCCAGGAGTTGGAGGTTGCTGTGAACTGTGAGGCCATAGCACTCTACCCAGGGGAATAGCTTGAGGCTCCGTCTCAAAAAAAAAAAAAATAAAGTTCTGTTCTCGCCATTTCCCCAAGAGGAAAAAAAAAAAACAAAACCTATCTACTCCAGGCCAGAGTCAAGTCAGGTTTACTCTAGTCAGAACTTCTATCTCTACCCAGATAAATGAGTAGACTCCTTTACATTTTATATTGGATTTTAAAATTTAATATACAGGATACGGTGGGGGAAAGGCAGGAAGATAACAATGAGGCTTGAAAGTCAGAGAACAAGTCACACAGTCCAAAGCCTCACACAGGTACAAAAGCATTTCCTTATCAGAATGGGAAGATGCTAAGGGCATCCGACACCCAGCTGGGACAGGTGCCCAGCATCTTTCAGAGAGCTCAGGACAGAATGAGCACTCACACACAGGCCAGGGCTTTTCCCACCACCTGGATTCTTTCTCCTCTGTCTGAGGTTCTCACATCCTTTGCTCTGTTTTCTCCTGTTTTTCCCTGAGTCCAAGCTCAGGAACTCTGTCCTATTGGTTCAGCTCAGCTAAGCAGTGATAACTGGTACCCGGGTGCTCATAGTCTTGGAATGACAAGGCAGGAAGGGATCACGGAGATCAGCTAATTTATAGATGAGGAAACGAAGTGACAGGCTCAGGGTAACACACTCTGTAGGTGGCAGAATCTGGGCTGAAACCAGATCTTCTAATTCCCCCCAGCAAGGTCAGAGCTATGCATACCTCCTCTGCAACAAAGTCCATGGTATCAAATGTGATCTGGCTTTGCTTCTTTTTCTGGAGGAAAAAAAAAAAAAAAAAGAGGCAGGGAGAGGAGGGCTAATTAGCAAGACTGTTCCAGAATTTTGCATCTGAAGCCCTTCTGCATACCTGGACCACCTTGGGGGCAGGTAGTTATGGGAAACCTCCTGGCAATAGCCATTTCCTGGCCACTTTTGCTCAGAATCTCCAACTCCACACTATATTTAGGTCTAGCACTGGTGATAAATTACTATATTGTGAAAGGGTGGGGAGAGGAAAGGAGGATAAAGAGAAAACAGAAAAGAAGGATGGAGAGAGAAAAGGAAGAGAGAAAAGAAGCAGACAAGAAAGTATTGGTGAGGGGGAAGATAAGGAAAGAAAAAAACAAATGAACCCAGCCTTTGCTGAGTGCCTTTAATAAGCCAAATATGCAATTTTTCTACTCCATCCCTTTTCATTGCAGTCCAGCTATAGGGCTGCAGCCTTGTTTGGTTCGGTTAGCCTGGTGTCTTAAAATATAGTCTACGAGGCTGGGCATGGTGCTCACACCAATAATCCTAGCCCTTTGAGAGGCCAAGACAGGTGAATTGTTTGTGCTCAGAAGTTTGAGACCAGCCTGAGTAAGAGCAATGCCCAATTAGCTGGGTGTTGTGGCAGGTACCTGTAGTTCCAGCTACTTAGGAGGCTGAGGCAAGAGGATCACTTGAGCCCAGGAGTTTGGGGTTGCTGTGAGCTATGATGCGACAGCACTCTACCCAGGGCCAAGTAAGATTCTGTCTCAAAAAAAAAAAAAAAAAAAAAATATATATATATATATATAGTCTATGAATATGAATGTCTTCAGATACAGTATGTCCTTTCTCTCTAGCTGGCCCATAGGCCCCTACCCCCACTATATCTTAAACTCAGCTGCAGGCACTAGATTTATTACCTGATGGCCCCTTAGAAACCAATGCAAGGCAGCCTTCCCTTCTCCTATCACCAACCCCCCGGACCCCTCTCTTGGGCTACTATCCTTCAGAAACCATTTTGGGAAATTTCTTGTAATAAATTGCTAGATGCAAGAAGTAGAGGCCTGGATCTAGTCACTCTTGACCCAACAGGAAAATGAGCAGGGTTTTTCCAGGTATTATATGAGAAAACTCTGAAGTCCTGGTTAACATACTTGGTAATAATGAGGATACCTTTGGGAAACCAGAACGAGTTAAAAGAATGCTGACCAACTTTTCTGAGCCAAAAAGGAGCTCAGATCTACTGGGGGATAAAAATATTTTAAACTGGAAAAAAATATTTTAAACTGGGACTTTCTAGGAAATCTAGAAAGCACGGTCCCCACAGTGAGCAGGGCCCTGACGATGTCCCCTTCACTTAAGATGACAGATAGGAAAGAAAGTAGAGATACTAATAGTTTGTGGGCCTTCAGAAAACACCAACTCTACCATGACTCCTAGATTCCTCTAATTCCTTTGATCATGGTGGAATGAAGAATACCTCTTCCGCACTCCCAGTGTCTTTCCACATGGAGGGAAGTGTATTAGTAAAACACTACTGGCCTCACTCCTTCCACATTGTGGAGGAGTGACTTAAACTCCTTGGTAGATTTGGAAGCAGAAAGGGGCCTGCTGAGTCCTGGTTCTGCTCTGCCATTGAGTTTAGGGCAGCAGGCCCTACTATTTTACTGGAGCCTGCCATGGTCCAGCACCACTTGAGATAAGGCCTGTAAGGCTAATTCTGGGGTTCATTCAGTATTACGTAACCCTCTTGCTTTATGATATAAGTCACCTTCTCCAATGTAAGTGTGGTCATTAACAAAGGTGAGAGTTGGGTCTCCCAACTGCTTTACCCTTTGCTTTCTCTCTCAGTTGGTTCTAAGCTTGAGCTGGGACGTGGGGGGCTACTTATTAAACCTCCTTAATCCAATAATCATGAAGAGCCCAGATGCTTACATCCCAGAAGGAGAAGATAGGGTGCTTTCTTTGAGCAGCGGCAATGATTTGATATTCCCGGAATCCCCTGAGGCCTTGGCGGAACATTTTGCACACTCGGATCATTAGTATGATATGCATGGAGAGCTTGTACAGCCCCTGTAGAAACAAAACAAACAAGATCAGTGGCAACCATCTGTTCTCAACAGTCAACAGCAGGATGGATGGTGCTGAACAAGGCGAAATTTTTTTTTTTTTTTGAGACAGTCTCAAGCTATTGCCCTTGGTAGAGTGCTATAGCATCACAACTCACAGCAACCTCCCAAGTAGCTGGGACTACAGGCGCCCGCCACAACACCTGGGCTTTTGGTAGAGTGCTATTGCATCACAATTCACAACAACCTCCCAAATAGCTGGGACTACAGGCGCCCGCCACAACGCCTGGCTATTTTTGGTTGCAGTTGCCATTGTTTAGCTGGCCCAGGCTGAGTTTGAACCTGCCACCCTTGGTGTATGTGGCTGGTGCTGTAACCACTGTACTATGGGCATCAAGCCATGAACAAGGTAAAATTTAACAGGGTTAAATGCAGTGGTTTGCTGGAGTGATAGTTTATACATTTTCAGAAAGTCTGCAGGCCTGTTGAAATTATGTTGGTAGCTTGGAACTGGCCATGGTGGGAGTATTTATGCCACAGAAATTGGCAAATACTACAAATCAGGGCATCTCTTTTCCTAGGAGCCAATTGATAAACATTTGCCAGCACACCAGTGCATTTAATGTCCAAGTCTTTTACTTTCATACAGAAAATTAAGGGTACAAGTAACTTCAGGCTGTGGGGGGGGGGGGGGTGTAAAGAGTTTGAGTCTTTTAATTGAGTGGATCTGAGGGAAGAATGGTCAGAAAGAGGCCAGGCACAGTGGCTCATGCCTGTAATCCCAGCACTTGGGAGGCCAAGATGGGTGGATTGCTTGATCACAGGTTCAAGACCAGCCTGAGCCAGAATGAGACCCCCATCTCTAAAAAATAGCCAGGCATTGTGGCGGGATGCCTTGTATTCCCAGCTATTTGGGAGGCTGAGGCAAGAGGATCACTTGCACCCAAGAATTTGAGGTTGCTGTGACTATTACACCATAGCACTCTACTGAGGGTGACAAAGTGAGACTCTGTCTCAAAGAAAAAGAAAAAAGAATGGTCAGAAAGATGCAACATTGCTGGCTTTGGAAATGGAGGAAGGGAACCACGAGGCAAGGAATGTGGGTGGCCTTTAGAAGCAGACAAGGCAAGAAAATGGATTCTTCACTAGAGCCTTAAAAAGGGAATGGAACCCTGCTGGAAACCTTGATTTTAGCCCAAGGACACCTGTGTCAGATTTCTAGTCTATAAGATAATAAATTGGATTTGTTATAAATTGTGGCAATTTGTTATGGCAGCAATATAAAACTAATATAACACCTAATCCAAGATGGGCCGTCCTATCTTTTTCTAGGAATTTGGAATTGGAACTGAGAGCAAATCATCTTTTTGTTGTTGTTGTTGCTGTTGCAGTTTTTGGCCAGCGTGAGTTCAAACCCGCCACCTCTGGTATATGGGGCTGGTGCCCAACTCCTTGAGCCACAGGCGCCACCCCAAATCATCCTCTTGATCTCCATATAAATTTAGGAATAAGGGTAGCCACCCTCTCCTAGCCAAGTAAACACAGAGGATGGGGAAAATCCAGAATATAGAACAATTTATGAGTTGACTAACCTGGTTTCTTTAGTTAGTTTCACAAGAAGAAAAACAAACAAGATATGGGGACTATTCTAGATTTAATAGGCTTGGTGCCAGTAGCATAGTGGTTAAGGTGCCAGCCACATACACCGGAGCTGGCAGGTTTGAATCCAGCCCAAGCCTGCCAAGTAACAATGACAACTACAACCAAAAAATAAAGATAGCTGGGCATTGTGGCAGACACCTGTAATCCCAGCTTCTTGGGAGGCTGAGGTCAGAGAATCACTTAAGCCCAAGAGTTTGAGGTTGCTGTGAGCTATGATGCAATGGAACTCTATCATGGGCAACATACTGACACTCTGTCTCAAAGAAAAAAAAATAAATAAAAGAAAGATTCAATAGACATAAAAACAAATGCAAAGTATGAACCTTAATTTGATCCCAGTTCATGATAGCAAGCTATAAAAGGGAAATTAAATGTTCTTGCATATTAGATACTAGGGAATTAGTGTTAATTTTCTTAGTATTTAGTGGTATTGTGGTTATGTGGGAGAATGTCCTTATGTTTAAGAAAGTATCATCATAAAGTATATAATTTACTTTCAAATGATTCAGTAAATACACACACACAAATACATAAAGGCAATATAGCAAAATGTTGAATCTTAGATCAAAAGAGTGATTATTATATATACATATATGTATTTCAACTTCTTTTTTTTTTTTGAGACAGAGCCTCAAGCTATTGCCCTGGGTAGAATGCCGTGGCATCACGGCTCACAGCAATCTCTAACTCCTGGGCTCAAGCAAATCTCCTGCCTCCACCTCCCAAGTAGCTGGGACTACAGGCGGCCGCCACAATGCCCGGCTATGTTTTGGTTGCAGCCGTCATTGTTGTTTGGCGGACCAGGGCTGGATTCAAACCCACCACCTTAGGTGTATGTGGCTGGCTCCTTAGCCACTTGAGCCACAGGCGCTGAGCCTATTTCAACTTCTATGTTCAAAATTTTTCATAATAAATGCAAAAACTAAAAGCATCTGTGTACTAAATTCTGTTAATAAGTACATCATAAACAAAATGAAAAAGCAAACTGTAGCCTGGAAGAATATATATTCCATGCATATAAATGATAAAAGATTGCTATCCAGCATTTGTTTTTAAAAAATCCTACAAAGTGAGAGAAAAATACAAATAATACAGGAGCAAAATGAGCAAAAGATATGAATATACAATTCATAAGGGAAAAACTCAAATTGCCTCATAATTGTATGCAAAGATTCTTAACATCACTAGAAATAATGGGAATATAAATTACAGTAATAAGAAGATACTATTTTACACTTGTCATTGGTGAACCGGGAAAAAATAGTAAAATGCTGTTGCACGGCAATTTGGCATCATTTTATAAAGTTGAGGATGTGTTACAATCAAGAAATCACACACTTCATGTAACCTCTTTACAGAAACTCACATATGCACACAACGAGACAGACATGGAAGTGATCGTGGTAGCACTGTTTGTAACAGTGAATGGCTGAAAACAGTTAAACGTCCATCAGTAGGGAAAGAGATCAATACACTATGGTACAGTCACGGAACTGAATATACTGCACCAGATCTGTGTGTGTCAAAGTGGATAAAGGTGAAATAATTTAAGTGGGAAAAGTGAACTAGGATGCCATTTATGGCGTCATTTTTTTTTGAAGACAGAGTCTCACTCAGTTGCCCTAGGGTTGAGTGCCGTGGCATTACAGCTAAAAGCAACCTCAAACTCTTCGGCTCAAGAATTCCTCTTGTCTCAGCCTCCTGAGTAGCTGGGACTACAGGTGCCCGCCACGACACCTGTCTATTTTTTCTACTTTTAGCAGAGAGGGGGTTTCGCTCTTGCTCAGGCTGGTCTTGGACTCCTGAGCTCAGGCAATCTACCCACCTCAGCCTCCCTGAATGCCTAGATTACAGCAGTGAGCCACCATGCCCGGCCTATGGCGTCACTTTTTAAAAAGAGGGTCATATATATGTTGTTTATGGATAAATACACACACAATAATATATAAAATGTAAACAGGGTGGGTGACATCAGCTTTAGGAAAGTAGTGATCAGGGAAGAAAAATAAAAGGGTGTGGGATGCTAACAAATAATATTCTATTTCTTTGAAAAGTAGATACCTATGGGAAATATAGAGAAAGGTACTTTAATAAAATTAATACACATTGAGTACAATTTACCGTTTGAGGGCACTATTGTATGCCCTCTTCTGATATGGATTAACTCATTTAATCCTCAACAGTAAATTTATGCAGGAAGTACTAATATGATCATCACCCTTTACAGAGGAGAAAACAAAGGCACAGCAAACCAAGTAACTTGCCTAGGATCATGTGACTAATATGTGCTAGGAAGTTAAACCCAGGCAGTCTGGCTGCTGAGTCCCTAAGCTTCACCTACTACTCTACCTTGCAGCCCTGCCTTCTCTCTAGATCTCATAACAGCAGGAGGGGTGGGTACAAAACAGGAGTCAGGGGCTCAGAGTGTGGCCTAGGGCTTGCCCAGTGTCAGCAGAGTAGACGGTTTCCCCCAACTACGAGGTGGAAGTCAGAATTCAGTCCTCCTGAAGTCTAGTCTGGAGCTCCTCCCTCCTTGTTATGGGGTCTCCAACAGGCAAAGCATGACCACCGTTCACCCAAGGATCCTCCTCCACTTGCCTCTTCCTTCTTCAAAATGCCTTCTGCTCCTCCCACCCTTGTCCCTCCTCACCATTTGCTTCTTCAGGATCTGCCAGGTATGAGATATTACACATTTCTTCATGGTTCCTGATCTGAGAAATGGCACAACTCGCCCCTTTGCCTTTCATGGGGGGAGCTATAAATTTCTTTCTAAAATCCAATTACACTAGAAACAAAGGGCTTCCCTCAATGGCAAGGCAAGAGCTCCTCTCTGCCCCTCAAACCCCACCAGCAATTGCTGGGAGCCTTGTTCTGAGAAAATCTTTCTCAGAATTTACTTATGTCACAGTGTAAGATTCTCGACAAGGGGTCAGTATAAACAAATTGGAATTTGGCAGCCTAACATTTATTGAGCTCTCATAGGCATTACTCAGACAATCCTCACAACCCACAAGGTAAGGGAACCTTATGTACAACTCCATACATGAGCAGACTGGGTCTCAAAGTAGCTCAATGACTGTCAACATCATGGGCATCTTTAAAAATGTAGGAGGCTTGGCTTGGCGCCTGTGCTCAGTGGTTAGGGCACCAGCCACATACACCAAGGCTGACAGGTTCAAGCCCGGTCTGGGTCTGCTAAACAACAATGACAACTGCAACAACAACAACAAAAAATAGCTGAGCGTTGTGGTGGGTGCCTGCAGTCCCAGCTACTTAGGAGGCTGAGGCAAGAGAATTGCTAAAGCCCAGGATTTTAAGGTTGCTATGAGCTAAGATGCCATGGCACTCTACCAGGGGTGACATAGTAAGACTCTGTCTCAAAAAACAAACAAACAAAAAAAAGTAGGAGGCTTCTTGGCTAGGAGTAGAGACATCCAACACTTTGGCTTAGAGACCAGTACAGGACATTGCCCACAAGCCTTGTTAACTTGGGACAATCAGGAAAACTCAGCAAATCAGAAGACATCAACCAAATGTGTCAAATGCTGAAAGAAACTTGGAAACAGGAACACTTATAACTCTGAGGTCCTTGTAAAAGTAGATTAGACTATAGAGTCTGTAGCACTTTTTTCCTACTAAATACAACTGATAATCTTAATTTGCTCTTGTAGCAGGATCCCCAATAGAAAACTGATTTCAGTCTGAGTGATGTGACTCAGGCCTGTAATCTTAACACTCTGGGAGGCCTAAGACAGGTGGACTGCTTGAGCTCAGGAGTCTGAGCCCAGCCTGAGCAAGAGCAAGACCCCATCTCTAAAAAGGCTAGGCATTGTGGTGGGCACCTGTAGTCCCAGCTACTTGGGAGGCTGAGGCAGGAGGATCACTGAACTGAAGAGTTTGAGGTTGCTGTGAGCTATGACGCCAGGAGACTCTACCCAGGGTGACAAAATGATGTTCTGTTTCAAAACAAAAAGAGAGAGAGAGAGACAGTATAGACTCTTGCCTACTCTACCACAGACCTAGTCTTCAGGAAGGAGATGTAAGAGGATCCTCTACCAATGTTTAGGGGACCTCTGAGAGAAATTACTGGCCCTGGAGAAGGCAAGAGAGATGGTAGGAGGGGCTATGGACAGGAGTGTCCCACTGGTCTCCTGAGTTGCCTGAGGATCCAAGAGTGACAAGGAAAGTATCCAGACTAACAAGGGGCATTGGAGAATGCCAGTAAGTAGAACTGATGAGACCTCAAAAGTGGGTACTGCTGACCTCACCTCTTTCCAGCTGTGGTTGCGTAATTTCTCTGGGAATTGGATCAGCCTTGGGGAGGAAGAGACAGATAATTTGGAGAGATTTGAACCAGCCCAAGATGAATCAATAAGCCTGAAATTACATCCACTCAAAATGGATGAGAAGATTCTTATTGTCTTGGTGGTTATAAAAGGTATGCAACAAACATCTACGGAGGTCCAACTCCACATAGATATGAAGGTGAACGAGACCCAGTCCCTGCCTATGAGGAGCTGACATACACTAGAGAAATAAAATTGTCAGAAGAAGTTGTAATAAAGCTGGGTATAGTGGCTCATGCCTGTAATACTAGCACTCTGGGAGGCCAAGGCAGGTGGACTGCCTGAGCTCACAGGTTCAAGACCAGCCTGAGCAAGAGGGAGACCCCATCTTTTTTTTTGAAACAGTTCCACTATGTTGCCCTCAGTAGAGTGCCATGGTGTCACAGCTCACTGCAACCTCAAACTCTTAGGCTTAAGAGATTCTCTTGCCTCAGCCTCTCAAGTAGCTGGGATTATAGGCACCCACCACAACATTGACTATTTTTTTGTTGTTGCAGTTGTCATTGTTGTTTAGCAGGCCCAGGCCCGGTTCGAACCCGCCAGCCCTGGTGTACGTGGCTGGCACTCTAACCATCGCACTATGGACGCCGAACCGCAACACCCCATCTTTAAAAATAGCTGGGCATGTGGCAGGTACCTGTGGTCCCAGCTACTCGGGAGGCTGAGGCAAGAGGATCTCTTGAGCCCAAGATTTTGAGGTTGTTGTGACCTCTGACACCATAGCATTCTACCCAGGGGGAGACAGTAAGACTGTCTCTAAATAAATAAATTAAATTAAATTTCACGTTAAACAATAATTCAAGCTAACAAATGGCAGGCATGTGGGAAAACTGCGCATTGCTGGTAAGAATTGCCATTGCTGTAAGAAACTGCGCATTGCTGGAAAACAATATGATGGTTCCTCAAAAAATTAAAGACAGATTTACTATATGACCCAGCAATTGCACTTCTGGGTATATATGAAAAAGAATTGCAAACAGAGACTGAATATTCATAGTTAGCTGTACACCAATATTCATAGCAACATTACCTGTAATAGCCAAATGATTGAAACAATTGTGTTTCAATATTCAATTCAATTCAATATATATTGAATATATATTCAATTGTGTTTCAATATTCAATATTCAATTCAATATATATTGAATATATATTCAATATTCATATATATAAGAATAAATATTAACCCCATAAAACTTGCGCGGTTGGACAGGAGTTGAAAATGTTGGTGTGAATGCATGGATTTCAAAATATATAGTTAGATACAATAATAATGTATGTGTACATACATATATAACCTCATCCTTGGCAGGAGAGGGCCTAAGATCAGTGATATTAGCCTTAAAAAGAAATGAAATTTTGATCCATGCCACAGCATGGATGAACCTTAAAGACATCACACTGATTGAAAGTCAGACAGAAAGGGACAAATATTATTTGAGTCTCCTTATATGAGAGGCCTATAAAAGTCAAATTCAAAGACAAAGGAAGTAGAACTGTGGTTACTAGGGGCCATGGGAAAAAGGAAATAGAAAATTAATGGTTTAATGGGCAGCATTTCAGCTTGGGATCATGAAAAAGATCTAGAAATGGAGGGTGGTCAGTGTGAATGTATCATACACTTAATGCCACAGAACGGTATGCTGAAAAATGGTTAAAATGATAAATTTTATCACAGTTCCTTTAAAAGTTAAAAGAAACGCTGCCCTTTCCCCTTCCTTTCTGAAAAATTCATCTTAGAAGCCAAGCCATTAGGTGGGGCCAGGCATGGCAGGTGCTACATGCAGGAAGGCAGACGGCTGCAGTGTGCTAGCACGTGGTATTAGAGCCCTGAGCAGGGTGAATGGGATGGGGCAGGTGGGTGTAGCACCTATATTTAGGAGAATTGATTACAGAAGATAATAGGAGCCAGTTTTCTCTCTGAGAAGGGGGTTAAATGTCAGGAATGAGAGAAAACTAGAAACTTGTGGGGCTGGAAGGGAGTTGAAAATGTGTGAACGCATGGATTTCAATATATATAGATAGATATAATAATGTATGTGTACATACATATATACCCCCATCCTCTGCAGGAGAGGGCCTAGGAACAGCAATTATGCCATCAGCAATGAACACACCCAGTGCCAGATTTTGGCTCCTAAGAACCACCATTCTCCACATGGTTCTCCAAGAACACAGGTTTCTTGGAGAAACAGCTGATTCTAGAGCTAAGACAAGATGAGCCTCTAATATATTGTGCTGAGAAGTAACAATGTATTTTTTAAATGACATGGCATGTTAAAAGGACACAGAACTCAACATAAAGGGGCTTCTCGGCTGGGCACAGTGGCTCATGCCTATAATCCTAGCACTATGTGACGTCAAGGTGAGAGGATCCCTTGAGCTCAGGAGTTCAAGATCAGCCCGAGCAACAGCAAGACCCCTTTGGCTGAGCATTGTGGTGGGTCCCAGCTACTCAGGAGGCTGAGGCAAGAGGATTGCTTAAACCTGGGAGTTTAAGGTTACTGTGAGCTAGGCTGATGCCTCTGCACTCAAACAGAGTGAGAATCTGTCTCAAAAACAAAACAACATAAAGGGGTCCCCACTGGTTAAATCCAGAATAATGTGAGCATCAGAATAACGAAGGCAGGTGCAGTGGTTCACACCTGTAGTCCCAGCACTTTGGGGAACCAAGGTGGGATTATTGCTTGAGGCCAGTGGTTCCAGACTAGCCTGGGCAACATAGTGAGAACCTATCTCTACAAAAAATAAAAAATTAGCTGCATGTGGTAGCATGTGCCTGTAGTCTCAGCTACTTAGGAGGCTGAGGCAGGATGATCTATTGAGCCCAGGAGTTCAAGGCTGCACTGAACTATGATCATACCTCCACACTCCAGCCTAGGTGACAGAGCAAGACCTTGCCTCAAAAAGAAAAAGAATACCTAGCACTCTGGGAGGCCGAGGAGGGTGGTTCTCTTGAGCTCAGGAGTTCAAGACCAGCCTGAGCAAGAGTGAGACACCATCTCTAAAAACAGCTGGGTGTTATGGTAGGTGCCTGTGGTCCTAGCTACTAGGGAGACTGAGGAAAGAGGATTGCTTGAGCCCAAGAGTCTGAGGTTGCAAGCTATAACGCCATGGCACTCTACTAAGGGCGACAAAGTCTCAAAAAAAAAGAATAATTCCAGTGCTGGTCAAGATAGAGAAAACCTCATTGTCTAAAAACTTTAGACAGGTTCTCAATCTGTGGGTTCTGACCCACAGGAACTGTATTAAAGGGGCCGCAGCATTAGGAAGGTTGAGAACCACTGCTTTAGACAATACAAACAACAACTCACTTGGGACTCTAAAAACCAAACAATGGCAAGTGGTCTGGGGG